ACCTCCATCAGTGTGGTTCATTGGTGAAGAACGTGTAAACTTGCTGGGAAGAAAGCACAGCCACTTCTCAGAATAGAAAGGGTGGGAATAAGGCAATGTATTACAGTTATCGCTCCACTGCACGGCTTGTGTGCTTACCTGTGCTCACATACATGTACCAAAAACCACTGTTGAGTCCAGCACACTTCTGCAATTCAAAGAACACATCCCAGATTAGCATTTAGCAGAATTTAGCCATGCTGGGATGTGATTTGTGTTGTTTTAGGGATGCTTGTGTGCTCTCCCTCAAGTAGTGCTTTTAACCTGTTAACAGACCATGTATTACTTTTGAGTTCACATCAACTCATCAGTGAAAGACTTGCTCCTGATTTTGACTAAATATTTTTAGGCTAGATGTGCTATAATGCTGGGGAAGCAACTGAGTCTATCAACTGTAAAGGGTGTATTTGATTACTCTACAGAGACTGGATAACAAAGGCAGCTCCATAGATAACAGGATGTCCTGGGTTCAGCAGTAGCAGCCATTTTTCTCCTTCTTAGTAGCTGGTGCAGCACTGTGTTATTGACTTTCGGCCTGGGAACAGTGCTGATAACACCGGTGTTTTCAGTTGCTGCTCAGTAATGTTTACTCTGACCAAGGACTTTGTGAGTCTCATGTTCTGCCAGGGAGGAGGGGAAGCTGGGAGGCAGCAGAGACAGGACCTGACCCAAACTAGCCGAAGAGGTATTCTATACCACAGCACGTCATGACCAGTGCATAAACAGGGGGCAGTTACGTGGCAGGGCTGGATCACTGCTCAGGTCTGGCTGGGTATCGGTTGGAGGGTGGTGAGCGGTTGTATTCTCTTCCCTTGTTATTTCCCTTATCATTATTACTGGTGGTAGCAGCAGTGGTTTGTGTTATACCTTAGTTACTGCACTGTTCCTATCTCAACCCGTGGGAGTTACATTCTTTTGATTCTCCTCCCCATCCCTCTGGGAGCGGGGGGAGGAAGGGGGGGGGGGGGGGGGGAGTGAGTGAACGGCTGTATGGTTTTTCTGAATTAGTGACTGGACTTAAACCATGACATAGGATGACAGAATCACAGAAACAGACTGGTTTGTGTTGGAAGGGACCTTAAAGCTCACCCAGCTCCAATCCCTGCCATGGGCAGGGACCCCTTCCACTACAGCAGCTTGCTCCAAGCCCCTGTGTCCAACCTGGCCTTCAACACTGCCAGGGATGGGGCAGCCACAGCTTCTCTGGGCACCCTGTGCCAGCACCTCAGCACCCTCACAGGGAAGAGCTTCTGCCTAAGAGCTCAGCTCAGTCTCCCCTCGTGCAGGTTCAAGCCATTCCCCTTGGTCTGGCCCTACAGGCCCTTGTCCAAAGCCCCTCTCCAGCTTTCCTGCAGCCCCTTTAGGCACTGGAGCTGCTCTAAGGTCTCTCTTAAGGAGCCCTCTCTTCTCTGGGATGCACAAGCCCAACTTACAGAAAACCACCTAATTTAACTCTGAAGCCCCCATAGGATGCAGAATCCACCCTGCCTTCTAGTTACCTGCTCTAGCACTGATTACTCACCCTGTTGAAAACCTTCTTGCATGCTGAACATTGCTGCCTTCTCTTGCCCCTTCAGGAGCCTTCTCTTCTCCAGGCTGACCCAGCCCAGCTCTCTCAGCCTGGCTCCAGAGCAGAGCTGCTCCAGCCCTCGCAGCAGCTCCATGGCCTCCTCTGGCCTCGCTCCAACAGCTCCACATCCCTCTTGTGCTGCTGCCCCAGAGCTGGATCAGGGCTGCAGGGGGGGTCTCCCCAGAGCACAGCAGAGGAGCAGGATCCCCTCCCTGAGCTGCTGCTCACGCTCTGGGGGTGCAGCCCAGCACACGGGGGGTTCTGGGCTCAAGCGCACACTGAAGCCGGGTCATGGGGAGCTTTTCCTCACCCAACACCCCAAGTCCTTCTCCTCAGGCTGCTCCATCTGGTCTCCCCCAGCCTGGGTTTGTCCTGGGATTGCCCCAACCCAGGGACAGGACCTTGCCCTTGGCCTGGTTGAGCCCATTAAGTTCACACGGTCCCACCTCTCCAACGTGTCCAGGTCCCTCTGGATCCCATCCCTTCTCTCCACTGTCAATGAAGAGTTAGTTCTGCAGAACTGTAGGCAAACCCTGGATAGAAGCATCTTGTTTTTCATCCTGTCATTGTGAATTTCAGCATGTCTGGATACACATTTACTAAAACACCTCCACAGGATTAACCTCATGTCTGTTGACCTCTTACACACAGGTTAAGCCAACAAAACGGGGCTGTATGACTTGCAAGAGAATGTAATAGTGGTAAGAGTCATGAAAGCATTTCAGACTTCAAATATTCTTTTGCAAATATGTTTTTAATAGCAGGAAACCTGCAAGACTACATAATCATACTTTAACAGTACCATCAAGCCCCACTGACTTCCACCCTGGGAGAGACGTGCAGCTCAATTCGAGACATACACTAAAGAAGTCATTTTGCAACTGCTATTATGTGATAGGGGATCCTGGATTTAAGATACAGCTGACCTTAAGAGATAGTGAGGGGTGAAAAGGCAATTAAAAATCCATGTGAGCAGGCAAAATTCCTTACATTTATCCAGAGAATACAGATTATACGTACAATGTTACTAACACAATATGCAATCTCCATTCAATGTCAACAGGCAAAGACACACTTGGAAATATGCTGTGAGCAATACTTTAGTCTTAAGTATTATCTAAGACACAAAATCACCAGCATACAGATTATATATATGCACTTCAAAGGCTATTCTGCAAGGAAGAGAAGGGTTTTGGTGATTTCTGTACAGTACAACAGAAGCTAATAATTTCCAACTAAGTAGTAAACTAATTTTCTTTATAGGCAATGGGCTTTTAGTAATTTTGTTGAAAAGAATTAAGCTCATTTTCTTTCCCTTATATAGCAATCACTTGAAAATTAGTCTCCTCAGAAGACCCATCATCCAGGAGACTTCAGGATGCTTTAATTTCATTAGGAAAGTTTATATACAGATATATTCACATTTAGAAGAGCCTTAAACAAACTTGTAGAGAAGGGGCTTTACCACACACATGCTTTTGTTTGGCAATCAATTTGGAGGAGAAAAGGCCCTTCAATCTTGAGCAGAGCATACTCTCAATTTTCATATTATTTAAGGCTAAAGTAGTTTTTCCTACTGAAACAGGTTTTAAAAGTCCCGTAACATTACAGAGCCATGCTTCTGAACTATTACTGCAATTTAAAATGATCCTTCTCTTCTTCTTGAGTGTGAACATTTATGTATCTGCACAGCATATCACATGGCATTTACCTGAACTAAATGAAACCTAAAGGTAAATGAGTGTATTTAAAAAGGAGTTAGTTTCTGATTGAGTTTCTTACACAGTTCACTGCCTACGAACGCTGGTGATTGCCCAGTAAAGTGAAAGCAGGGAGGTGCACCAAAACTTACCTTTAGCATTGGCTTAAATGACTGCTTAAAACTACTGATAAGTAATTAGCTCCATGCCTAAATTTGAATCCTGGCAAATAATTAACACCAAATAATGTTATGAAAATTATTCCAATGAAATATATTTTGAGACTCCTTGTTTGAAAGGCACTTGATAACAATGCTTTTTCCTACAAAAGACAGCTTTTGCTATATTCATACAGAACAGCTTACAAGTCTTGAAGCCATGCTAAAAGAAACAAGTAAATTTTTTGGTTTATTTCCCCTTATGCACTTTTTTTAAACAACAAAGACTTGGGCTGCTTCCCATGTTTACATTCTGCTTCCCAAAGCCCAACAAATCTCCATGTCAGGATACTTTTTTATATGATTTTGAAAATATATAGAAAATATATCACAGCTGAATTCTCACACTGCAGCACTACCATACCTGAAACCATTATCATTTGCCATCAGCATTTATAGATTTTATAGCTACTTCACCTACTTTTGCACAATCTGATCTAGTTGACGATGTCCCTGCTCATTTCAGGGGGCTGGAACTTGAGGAGATTTAAGGCCCCTTCCAACCCAAACCATTCTGATTCCATGATTCCTCAAACTACTAGCAAGCCATATTTGGTGAATAACTCTTTCTTCTCTTCCAACCATCCAGTCTTCCATCTCCTGGTTCTTTTTCCTAAGCTTGCTTTCACCTCTGACACATGTGACAAAGCCTCCACATCAGGCATACTCCCTGATTGATTACTTGATTGCTTAACATATTCCTTGTTTGTGGTATGGTTTGGGTTGGAAAGGACCTTAAGATCATCCAGTTCCAAACCCCATGCCATGGGCAGGGACACCTCACACTTGACCATGTCGCCCAAGCTCTGTCCAACCTGGCCTTGAACACTGCCAGGGATGGAGCATTTACCACTTCTCTGGGCAACCCATTCCAGTGCCTCAGCACCCTCACAGTAAAGAACTTCTTCCTTATATCCAACCTGAACTTCCCCTGTTTCAGTTTGAACCCATCACCCCTTGTCCTGTCACTGCAGTCCCTAATGAAGAGTCCCTCCCCAGCATCCTTGTAGCCCCCTTCACACACTGGAAGCTGCTCTGAGGTCCCCATGGAGCTTCACTTCTCGAGCCTTCTCCCATTACCCATGCAGGCTCCAGAGTAACACCTTCCTAAAAAGCAGAACATAAGAAAACATCCATCAGAGAGCCAGAACACGTCGTATTCCACATCCCAACTCCATTTTTAAGGTGAATCCACCCAAGGCCGCTCACACACCGCTCCCTACCACTAACGGACCCGAAGCCCCGTTAGGGGGCGCGCATGCGCACCGCTCATCCGGGCGCCGCCGTCGCAGCGCGGCGCATGGGCACTGCCCGGCGGGTGGCCGCTCGCGGTGCACTGTGGGAAGGAGGCGGCCCTTGTCCCGGCGGAGGGTGGCGGTGAATCCTCCCGGCCGCTCACAGCAGTGTAGAGCCGCTTCTTCCCCCACCCCGGCCCCGTCCTTCCTTCCTTCCTGCCTCCCTCCCTCCCCCCTGTCCTCCTCCTCCTCCCCACATACACCCCCCCCCCCCCTTTCCCTCCCCTCCCTCCGGCATTTAAAGGGGCAGCGGCGCCAACCCGCGGGACCATGCCGAACTTCTGCGCGGCTCCCAACTGCACCCGCAAGAGCACCCAGTCCGACCTCGCCTTCTTCCGCTTCCCCCGGGACCCCGTCAGGTGAGGCCGCACGCGGGCACTGCTGCCGCCTCAGGAAGGCGGCCGGCGATGCAGCGCGTTGAGGGTGCTCGCTTCTACCCTCAGGCCGCTCTCCCTGAGCACACCCCGCGGCGGGGAGGTGCCTCCCTCCCCTCCTTCCTTCCCCCTCCCCGCGCCTCCTCACCTCAGCTCGGGGCTCCCCACTCGCAGCTGCCGCCTCTTCCCGGCGAAGGCCGCTGCTCGCTGTGGTGCCGGCGGGGCGGGACCCCGCGGGCCGCGGCGGGGAGGCGGGCGGGCGGCCGCCTGCGCATGCGCTGCTGGGACCTCCGCTTTGCCCACCCCCGGGTGGGGAGGCCCTGTGGGGTTTGAGGGAGCGATGGGTCCGATGGGTCATGGAGGGAGCGGGGGGGGCTGCCTGGCTGTGAGGGGAGTGGGAGGGTATGAGTAGTACGGGGGGGTGTATGGGGTTGTATGTCTGATAGGTCTGTGGGGCAGCAGTGGCATGTGTGTACGGCTGTTGGAGGTGTGGGGCAGATGGAGGGGTGTGGGAGCAGTAGGATGAGGCTGGGGAGCCCAGCACTGGATCAGGGGTGGAAATCTGTCAGTGTGTATTGAGGTGCTGGACGATGAGATACGTGTGTGACAACAGGACGTCGGTGTGACAGGCAGTTGTCACAGGATTACAAGGGTGGTGGTTAGTGGTAAACCACCATGAGCAACAGCAGAAGTGATGGGATATTCAAGCTCCCAGTGGGTAAAAAGCAGGGATGGTGCACTGGTAGAGCAAGAAGTGTGTAAGCAAGAGGTTGCAGGAAATAAATCATGCACTTAGACATAGAAACCCTTATGAGAAGGTCATCTTTAAATCTAGATAATGCTCCTAAAATCATTTGACTTGCTCCTCACAGTTTTGGAAGGTGCATAAGTGCTAGAGCAATACCACTTCTCTCTCCCCTAAAAGGAGGTAACAAGGGCTGAAATTTCTTGATGTTTTATATATATATATATCTATCTCATAGAATAGTTAGGGCTGGAAAGGACCTTAAGATCATCCAGTTCCAGCCCCCCTCCCATGGGCAGGGATGCCTCACACTAAACCATGTCACCTAAGGCTCTGTCTAAACTGTCCTTGAACACCACCAGGGATGGAGCATTCATAGCTTCTTTGGGCAACCCATTCCAGTGCCTCAGCACCCTCACAGTAAAGAACTTCTTCCTTATATCCAATCTAAACTTCCCCTGTTTCAGTTTGAACCTGTTACCCCTTGTCCTATCACTACAGTCCCTGATGAAGAGTCCCTCCCCAGCATCCCTATAGGCCCCCTTCAGACACTGGAAGCTGCCCTGAGGTCTCCACGCAGCTTCTCTTCTCCAGGCTCACTAGCCCCAACTTTCTCAGCCTGGCTCCATACAGGAGCTGCTCCAGCCCCTGCTCATCCTCGTGGCCTCCTCTGGACTTGTTCCAACAGTTCCATGGCCTTTGAGGACACCAGAACTGCACACAGTGCTGCAGGTGAGGTCTCACAAGAGCAGAGCAGAGGGGCAGGATCACCTCCTTCGCCCTGCTGGTCACGCTCCTTTTGATGCAGCCCAGGATACGGTTGCTTTCTGGGCTGTGAGCGCACACTGAAGCCGCCTCATGTTCATTTTCTCATCGACCAACACCCCCAAATCCTTCTCCGCAGGGCTGCTCTGAATCTCTTCTCTGCCCAACCTGTAGCTGTGCCTGGGATTGCTCCAACCTAGGTGTAGAATATATATATATATTTACATATATATGCACACACACATACCATATATAGATTGCTTCCTTGAAGCTGCTTGACCTGGTTTCCAGAAAATTGCAAACCCCATGGGAATGGTGGGAATATAGTTATTTCTAAGAAAACAGTTCCCTGTAACTGATTTTGAATGAAGATAGAAAAGCTTGTATTAAGTAGTAGCTGCTGCTTAAAGCTGTGTTTTCAGATGCATCATCAGGCTCTCCTGGGTGAACACGATGCCTGTGTTAAAGCTGGAGTAACAAGACAGCTTTCTGATGGCCAGATGTGCTAGGTTTTACAGTACAAACCCTATTATATATGTTTATGCTTTTAATGAAAATGGAAATAAAAATAGTTGATTACCCACTCTTAATCTTTGATAGACTGGTTTGGATTGGAAGGGACCTTAAAGCTCAGCCAGTTTCAATCCCTGCCATGGGCAGGGACCCCTTCCACTAGAGCAGCTTGCTCCAAGCCCCTGTGTCCAACCTGGCCTTGAACACTGCCAGGGATGGGGCAGCCACAGCTTCTCTGGGCACCCTGTGGCAGCGCCTCAGCACCCTCACAGGGAAGAGCTTCTGCCTAATGTCTAATCTGAATCTACCCTCTCAGTTTAAAACCATTTTCCCTGTCCTATCACTCTGTGTATGTATGTCCTACTTCATTTGCATTATTTGCTCCCAGAATTTTCTAATTCCACTTTCCATCCTGTGAGTTGGAGGAGCAGTTGCAGTTTGTGTGGAATGGAAGAGCTTTGGCGCTCTCTGAACTTAATCTGATTTGTAAGGAGTCCATGCTGTAAAATCTGAGTCCTGTTGAGTTGGTCAATATGTGAAAATCCATTGTTTCTAGAAAATACCCCTTTCAAATGAAAATTTTTCTGTTGAAAGACATCTTGAGTGAATGTTTTCATGGTAGCGATACAGTGATATATTAAAAAGAGTGCAGGTAATTAATGCACTAATTTTAAAGGTTGGGATGTTTTTTCCAAACAGCATTTCAGAATTAGAATACTACTACTTTTAACCACCACTTGTGTAAGTTTAGAAATAATTATTATTTGGAAGAAAAACCCAATTTATTTCAACTACAATGCGTTGGAAAAACATAGGTTTATGGATGCTTCATTTGCTAACATTAAAGTGGATCACAGACATGATTCTGTGGTTCTAAGTACTGGGTTGTATTTCTACAGTGTGTGAGTATGATTTTTTCACTTCATAATTCTCTTAAGTAGTTCAGGCTGATACAGCTGACATTGCTGTAACAGAGTAATAGAAAATAGAGTTAAAATTGACTCTGAAGGATCATCTAGACCTTTCCACTGTCCAAAGAAAGGATAAGCTATACCTAAACTGTTTGTAGAGTCTTAGTTCTGCTCTTAAAAACATGAAATGACAAAGGTGATATTCTTTAAGTTTTCTACAAGTACTCCCCCATATCTTACGCCTTTCTCATTTAAACCTATGTTAAAAAGTCCAAAGTTGATCATACAGTCTAATTTAGCCACAGCATTTAAATATGGATAAATAACTTTATGGCTTTGTAGACTAGAGGGTGTTAGTGGTTTATTCTCCGGCTTGAACTGCAGAAGTCACCTGCAGTTGTAAATGACAATGTGTTGCGTGTGCTGCTCGCAGTCATAGAAACCTTTCACTGTTATAGGTCAAACTGGTCTGGTGAGCAAAGTACTTTGTGACAAAAATGTGTTGTTTGCACTTGGTAACTTCCAGTGAGAAAGTTGAGAATAATGGCATTAGTATTTGAATTACAAAATAAATAAATAGTGAGAAACACAGGCCCAGGTAGACTGTCTCTACTACTTTACAGCTTTCAGGTTTTCCACAATAACTGAATAATTGCTTTTGTATTTTTCCCAGTTCAGTGCTAAGCAGTTCCAGTTAGGCATTCCAAGCCTGCTCTTTCGACTGTTAGCATGTCTGAGAGAGCTAACTAGTTATTGAAGACTGTCTTCATTTATTCTTACTACCTGAGATAAAGAGAAGGGGTGCACAGATTAGGCTTTGAAAAAAAGAACCAGCTGCATTTAATGGATGGTATGTAGTCTCTTCATATCAAATATTAATGTATAAATAGCCTCCGTTACCTCAAAAAGGATGCATATTTTATGGTTTTGTGTGGCCTAGGCAGTGATCCCCTAAGTAAGATGTCTGTCTCTCATCAGTGTTTCTGACTCTGTCGTCATGGTTTGAGTTATGGTGAAGTGTGAGTACAGCAAAATACTTCTTAAGCAAAGAGATACTATTCAGCTGTAGTTGACCTGTATGGAGGGAGCATACTGAGGTGTAGATAAACCATTAAAATGCCATTAGAGCTTCAATGAGATGTCGGCATATCTCTGAAAATGTAGAGCTTGTGACTGAAGAAAAGTACCTTAAAAGCTAATGAATGATACCTGAATAGTGGTGTAATATATGACATTGGGATGGTTTTTAATTTGTGCCAGATATTTTGCAACTAAAGTGCTTGTGCAACAGTCTACAGAGTGCATTAGTTGAATACTAAAAAGCTGGAGAAAGTTTTATACATAATTTTCTTCCAAAATCTTTTTAGTTGTTGCTTGGGTAGCACCGTGCAGAGCTATGTTGGGTGGTTTCAGGGGTCTGATCTCCTTTTTCTTTGTTCTTCCATTCCTTGTTCCTCGGAGAGTGTTAGATTAGGAGCTAAACTCATAGCAAGACTGAAAGGCTGAATTCAAACACAGGTGGAGTTGGCATACTTGAGTCCAGTCACATAACCTCCACCACCTCCTCCAGCCACCTGAGAGAGAGCATCAACGCTCCAGTCTTTGCCAGTAGAATTTCCTAGCTGTCTAGAGCTCCAGTTGCTAATCCACTGCTCTGATGAGGTGAAGAGCTTGGCGCCTGTGTCTGAACAGAGAATACAGAATGGGGCTCTACACGTTAAGGGCTTCTTTTGGCTCATGTGCTCAGGCAGTGTTGACTTCAGTACAAAAGGCAGTGGCTGCAGCTGTAATAGTAGAAGAATTTGGGAAGGGAGAGAAGTACTGGGTGGTTAATTTAATCTTTGGAGACTCATTTCCTGAATAAACCCCCTCTAAAGAGCTCTTCTGCCATCACTCATTAATCTCATCTACTAGTATCTACTTAACTTATTCTCTGGTTGGTAGCCACAGCAGAGGTAAAGGGATTCAGGCCGACTTTTGTCTGTCCATGACAACTGCATGCCAGCTCTAGATTCACCGCTGCTGACACCACTTTGTGGTTGCCAGAAGGTGATTCAGGGGAGTTAGCACAACATGAGGTAACCCAAGATTCCCCCCTTTTTTCTTCACAGTTGCCCTTTATTGCCCTCAGTTGAAGTAGAGATGATGGTGAATCCACTTCCAGCTATTTCCTGGGTCATGACCCATCTTTTTTCTAATTGAGGAATCACAAAGACTATTTCAAGCCTTTTGGTTTTAAGTGGACTGAGTAATTTTTTTCACTTTCATGAATTTCAGCACTAACTGGGTTATGGGGAGCTCAACCTTACTTTGCCCTACTGAAATAGCAGGTTCTTCACATAACTTCTCTGTGTGGGTTCCTGGACATTGCCAACATGCACCAATTAGGATGGAACCCAACAGATCGCTTTAAAAATGAGTCCGTGTTGAAGATTATGTAGCAAAGTGATGGAGAGTAAAGTAAAATAAGTCACTGAGACTGAAGTGGAAGTTCCTTCTCCTTTTTGCTGTAGAGTTATTGTGATATTACTATAAATCTTTATAATGGAGTTGTCTCTGTTCTTAAGTTTGACTGGAGAAGGATTTATCCTAGGAGGAAGGAGAGATTGTGTAACCACCCTGTATAGTTAAATAATGAACAAATAAATCAGTAGTTGTGTTCATGTGAAGGTTTTTACTCATCTGTATTGTATATTATCAACTGTTTACTTACAGCTGTTGTAAAGTGGTGGCTCTGTGATGCCACGAGGTGTAAGGGAGTGCATTATTTTTGCAGGTTTATAGGAATTCCAGGTTGGAAGGGACCTCAGGATCATCTGGTCCAACCTTTCCAGACACAGCATGACCCAGACTAGATGGCTCAGCACCCTGTCCAGCCTAATCTTAACAGTGCCCAATGCTGAGGGGTCACCACTTCCCTGGGGAGATTATTCCAGTGACTTGTTGCTCTCATTTGGAAAAAAATTCCCTCTTGTGTCCAGTGGGAATCTCCCCAGGAGTAACTTTTGCCCATCACCCCTTGTCTTTTCTATGGGACTCCTTGTAAAAAGGGAGTCTCCATCATCTTTGTAGACACCCTTTAAATACTGGCACATGGGGATAAGGTCTCCCCTGAGTCTTCTCCAGGTTAAACAGTCCCAGTGCTCTCAGCCTTTCCTCAAACACTGCCAGTCCTTGGATCATCTTTGTGGCCCTTCTCTGGCCCCTTTCCAGCCTGTCTGTATCTTTTTTGTGCAGCAGGACCACAGCTGAACACAGTATTCCAGGGGTGGCCTGACAAGCACTGAGTAGAGTGGGACAGGGACATCTTTATCTCTGCTGGTGATGCCCTTGTTGATGTTCCCAAGCAGCCTGTTGGGTTTCTTTGCTGCAGCTGCTCACTGTTCACTCCTATTGAGGAAGGAAATGACTTTTTTTTTCAACTTCTAAATAGAGATATCAGTAGCTGCTGGAGTTTTGTGCAGCAAATATATAAATGAACAAATAAGTTTTACTGGAGTAGCTGTGCATAATCAGGCTGTGTGTGTTGTTGCTCAAAAATCCATAGCAAGAAAGTGATTGCATAGATCCTGTTGAGGAAAATAAGAGCTGACTAATGCATTTGTATCAATTACTGCAAGTGGTTTGCTCACCAGAGGAAACAGTATTTTTCATATCTAAAAAAGTCCCTGTTAGGGAAAATGTTTCATTTGCTTTGTGCTGTATCTCAGAAAACTAATCCAAAGCAAAAGTAAATGTAAAAATACGCATCTAAGGAAAACTACAGGCATGTGAACACTGTCTGTAGAATCACAGAGTGGTTTTGGTTGTAAAGGACCTTAAGATCACCCAGTTTCCACCCCCTGCCATGAGCAGGGACACCTCACACTAAATCATGGCACCCAAGGTTCTGTCCAGCCTGGCCCTGAACACTGCCAGGGATGGAGCATTTACCACTTCTCTGGGCAACCTGTCCCGTGGCTTCACCACCCTCACAGGGAAGAACTTCCTTCTATCTAACCTGAACTTCCCCTGTTTCAGTTTGAACCCATTGCCCCTTGTCCTATTGCTACAGTCTCGGATGAAGAGTCCCTTTCCAGCATCGTCCTAGGCCCCTTTCAGATATTGGAAGGGTACTGTGAGGTTTCCATGCAGCCATCTCTTTTATTTTTATTAAAATTTCAAATTTCACTGTTTAAAAATCTACTCTGAACTCCCCAGTGACCACAATAAATGATAAATGCTGTATTTTGGAGGGAGGTGGAGAAGACAACAATTTTAATAGCTGCCTTTGAAAACTTTATGACTTCAGTCTACAAAATCATCTTTCTCTTTTAGCTTTTTCTTTAAGGATTGAATTCGTGAGAATTAAATGGACAGGTTTCATGAACAGTCTGTGTGAGACAAAGGCAGGAATATAGTATCCTAGAATCATAGAATAGTTTGGGTTGGAAGAGACCTTAAGATCATCCAGTTCCAACCCTCCTGCTGTGGGCAGAGATGCCTCGCAATAGACCCTGTCAGCCAAGGTTCTGAGGTTCTGTCCAGCCTGGCCTTGAACACTGCCAGGGATGGAGCATTCACCACTTCTCTGGGCATCCTGTGCCAGCACCTCACCACCCTCACAGTAAAGAACTTCTCCCTTGTATCTAACCTGAATATCTAGATTAAGGGAAAAGATTCCTTAATTTGCTGGGGTGGCATTAAGTGGTGAGCAAAAGGAGAAAACCAGCTTTCTAATAGATTTGCTGGTATGTTATGACAGAAGGTATACAGAACTGTCCTGTGAAGGGCAGGGTTCACCTCACTCCAGTTCTGAGTACAGTTTGAAGTCGTGGAGGCTTTTGTTTTATCTTAAAACGAGCTAATTCTTTTGCTTATGTGCAGGTGTCAAAGATGGGTAGAGAACTGTCGAAGGGCAGATTTAGAAGATAAAACTCCAGATCAACTCAACAAGCATTACAGGTTGTGTGCTAAACATTTTGAGACTTCTATGATATGCAGAAGTGTAAGTAAAAACAAGCTCTTGTTCGTGGCATCTTGCAAAGTGTGACTGATGATTTTCATCAGAATGCTCATTCTAAACTTTGACTCCCTGAGTAACTGGTCCCTGGGGAGATCAGTCCCTTAGTCTTAACTGGGATCCTTGTCATGGTCCAAGGCACCACACATCCTTTTGTTGGCACAAAGGAAGAGGTGGTATATGAACAGAGAGAAAAGGAGGGCTGCTTCTGCGGTTTTAATATGTTTGTGGGGCACTGGTCTTCACTACAGGTCTTTCTTCATGTTAAGCAGTGCTCATTTTATTACATAAATTTATTATACGTAAGTATCTAAGTTTGGATAAGTGGTGTTACTGCAGTGTGTACACAGCGTTACTTGGTAAAGTTACACTCTGTTGTGGCCAAGAGCTTTAAACATTCTTTACATCTGTCAAGCTTTTGGTTCCTGTTATGTTTTATCCAGCTAAAATCATGGCACTGTTTCCTGTTGATGAAATTATAGCTTTCAGTTCTTCTTGTTGGTTTTAACAGCTGAATTTCACTCTTGATACTTCGGCAAAATCTGTCCTTTAGTTCCAAAGGATAATTCAAATACACAGGTTAGACTCTGAGCTCCTGGTGGTATTAGATGTGATAGGGTGTCTCATTAGTCAGCGCCACAGAAACAAGCACATGAAAAACGGAAGTAGTTAATATGAAATGAAGCCTAATGAAACCCTGCTTATTTAAAATGTGCTTCAGTCTAATGCCAGGTGGATATGTCATCAGTTAAATTTTTGTACTTGCTGAAATCAGCCAGTTTAGACACCATACATTTACAGTATATCCAAAATATAAATTTTTACTTAAAGTATTATTATTTAACTGCTAGAAACCTTTACATGGCCATCCAGGAGTCTTTTCTTCTTCCTGCTCATTTGACAGGTAAATTTTCCTTCAGTATGATCTTCCACAGTAGTGTTTTGTTCAGTAAGTGATAAAAAACAAAGCACAACAGTAACTAAATGTTTTCTTTCTGATACATAAGTATCTTTTTATTCAGAATGTTTAGTTTTAACGAAATCATACTATTGCAGCCAGTTAAAATTAATGCATCTGGGGTCTAGGATGTGAAGATAATGTGGAGGAAAAGGTGTTTGTGGTTTGGGTTGGGGTTTTCTTTAGTATATCTCTTCTCATTTCCAGTGTTCTCTTGATGTCACAGAATCATAGAATGGTTTGGGTTGGAAAGGACCTTAAGATCATCCAGTTCCAATCCCCTTCCACCGGCAGGGGTGCCTCCCACTAGACCATGCGGCCCAAGGCTCTGTCCGACCTGGCCTTGAACACTGCCAGGGATGGAGCATTTACCGCTTCTTTGGGCAACCTGTGCCAGGGCCTCACCACCCTGACAGGGAAGAACTTCTTCCTTATATCTAACCTGAACTTCCTCTGCTTCAGTTTAAACCCATTTCCCCTTGTCCTATTCCCAAAATGTGAACTGTATAGCACAGCTTTCTGTGTATCTTGGAACATCAGAAAGTGAAAATACTTTAAAAAGAGGAAAAAAAGGGCACAGCACCTGAAATTCTGGAGTTATTCTGTGTTCACACAATAAGAATTTTCCAAAGAAATTCCTAATCTGGACATCTGTCTTCTTACAGAGCCCTTACAGAACGGTTTTACGGGATAACGCTGTGCCAACCATATTTGATCTCACAAGTCACCTGAACAATCCCCACAGCAGACACAGGAAAAGGATAAAAGAGCTGGTAAGTTTTTCATGTAAGATTTATAATTATTATTATTTTTAATATTAAAACAATAAAGACAAGTAAATTCATGTGAAACTGTTACACAGAAGTGTTAAAGAATATCATAGAATCACAGACTGGTTTGGGTTGGAAAGGACCTTAAGATCATCCAGTTCCAACCCCCTGCCATGTTAGCACTTGAGTGCATTTTCTGGACTGCCTATTCTAATATCTTTTTGCTGGTTATAAATTAAATACCCAAATATTATGCTGTTATAAATTTTATCTACAAAGAAAGGTTTAATGAAATAATCTGGAAAATGAAATATGTTTATCCAGAGCTCATTCTGTCTTCCATAGAATGTGCATAGCTTCCTTTTGCTTGTTATTACAGCTCTGAATACAACTTGGTATCCTGAAATTCTTGCTACGTATTGATTGTGATCTTCAGTTTACCCATTGTGTCTGTACCATTTCAGATATATTTGTTTTAGCTTATTTACTGAGAAGATGATCCGTGTAGAAAATCAAGATCAAGAAGTTTCTTGTGGAACTATGTCTTGTCAATACCTCTTTTGTGTCATTTATAGACAAAGTGTCTCTAGGTCTCTGTGGTTATAAGTATACTGACAATTAAGAGGAATTCAACTCCTAAATTCTGCTTACATGTTGGAAAGTTACAGACAACTTCTAGATATTTCTTCACGAATCTGGAGCTCCCAACATAAGAAGGATATGGACCTTTTTCAGTGAGTCCAGGGAAGGCCGCAAAGATCAAGAGGGCTGGAGCTCCTTTTCTATGGCGCCAGGCTGAGAGAGCTGGGCTTGTTCAGCTTGGAGAAGAGAAGGCTCCTGAAGGGGAGACCTTAGAGGAGCTCCCAGTGCCTAAAGGGGCTATAAGAAAGCTGGAGGGGGGATTTGAAAAAGGGCCTGTAGGGACAGGCCAAGGGGAATGGCTTTAACCTGCCTGAGGGGAGACTGAGCTGGGCTCTTAGGTAGAAGCTCTTCCCTGTGAGGGTGCTGAGGCGCTGGCACAGGGTGCCCAGAGAAGCTGTGGCTGCCCCATCCCTAGCAGTGCTCAAGGTCAGGTTGGACACAGGGGCTTGGAGCAAGCTGCTCTAGTGGAAGGGGTCCAGTTCTGGGCCCCACAGTTCAAGAAGGACAGGGAATTGCTTGAAAGAGTCCAGCGCAGAGCTACAAAGATGATTAAGGGAATGGAACATCTCCCTTATGAGGAGAGGCTGAGGGAGCTGGGACTCTAGCTTGGAGAAGAGGAGACTGAGGGGTGACCTCATCAATGTTTACAAATATGTAAAGGGTGAGTGTCAGGATGATGGAGCTGGGTTTTTTTCAGTGATGTCCAGTGATAGGACAAGGGGCAGTGGGTGTAAACTGGAGCATAGGAGGTTCCATGTGAACATCAGGAAAAATTTCTTTACTGTGAGAGTGACAGAGCACTGGAACAAGTTGCCCAGGGGGGTTGTGGAGTCTCCTATGTTGGAGATATTCAAGGCCCGCCTGGACAAGTTCCTGTGTGATGTACTCTAGGTTACTGTGCTCTTGCAGGAGGGTTGGACTAGATGATCTTTTGAGGTCCCTTCCAACCCTTGGGATTCTGGGATTCTGTGTCCCTGCCCATGGCAGGGGGTTGGAACTGGATGAGCTTTAAGGTCCCTTCTAACTCAAAGCATTCTGTAAATTTGATTCAGTGTGTTTATTGACTGAAAATAGAGCTAAAGATATTTCTGTATCCTGACAGTGCACTTTCATACTGAAACAGCATTCTTTAATGGAGTGTATTTCCTAATAATTATATAGTACATATTGAACAAACTGCTAATAGAAGCATGGGAATCTTAGTAGTAGTAGCAAACTGCTCTCATTGAGTTTGCAAATACATGTTATGGCAGCAATAAACTGCCTGAAGAAACCTTCTCTTAAGCCTTCTAGCACTTATTGGTATATATTAACACTTTTAAAATGGTCTCACCTACAATATTTATATCATATCTTGATGTGTTTTAATATTTTAAGCTCATGTGCTAGCCATTATCATCAATACAAGTTTTGTTTTGTTTTTTAAAGACTGAAGATGAAATAAGAACACTGAAGCAACAGAAGAGTAAGTGGCCCAAATAATTGAGTTCATACAAACCTTTTTCACTAAGGCTGACAAGGTAATGCAGGACCCACAACTGTAAGTTTATATATATCAGGAGGATAATTAAGTTCCTGCCTGATTCAAACAGTCAAACTCTTTCTGAAATACCTATTCACTTTTAAACTGGAAGTATTAGTCTTTAAACTCCAGTAACATAAAGCAAATGGGGATAGTAAGGGAAAGCAAATGTTATGTTTTATTCCTGTTATTTTGACACAGTGTTTTACGTTTTGTAGTTGATGAACCTTTTGAACGGGAACAGGCAACTCGAGAGTTGAATGAAAACAATGAACAAAACGCTGTCCCCGAGGAAGGAGGGGAAGAACAAGAGGAAGAAGCTGTCCCCTTAACACTGGAAGAAAGAGAAAACAAAGATTACCTTAAATCTTTGTTTGAAATACTGATCCTAATGGGTAAACAAAATATTCCTTTGGATGGCCATAATGTTGATGAGCTTCCAGAAGGTGTTTTTGCTTCCGATAACTTTCAGGCTCTACTGGAATATAGAATAAATGCTGGAGATGAAGTTCTGAGGAAGCGGTTTGAGATGACTGCGGTCAACCTTGAGTATTGTTCAAAAACTCAGCAGAAACAAATGCTTGAGATCTGTGAAAATTGCGTTAGAGAAGAGACACTGAGGGAAGTAAGAGACTCGCATTTCTTTTCTATTGTCACCGATGAAGTAGTAGACATAGCAGGAGAGGAACATTTGCCTGTGTTGGTGAGATTTGTTGACGATTCTCATAATCTAAGAGAAGAATTCATCGGGTTTTTACCGTATGAGGCTGACCCTGAAATTTTGGCTGTCAAGTTCCACACGACTATTACTGAGAAGTGGGGTCTAAACATGGAGTACTGTCGAGGCCAAGCCTACATCGTCTCCAGTGTGTTTGCTTCTAAAATGAAAGTTGTGGCTAAGAGACTCTTGGAAAAGTATCCACAGGCTGTGTATACGTTGTGTTCCTCGTGTGCCTTAAATGTTTGGCTGGCAAAATCCGTTCCTGTTGTTAGTGTTTCCATTGCGTTAGGAACAATGGAAGAGGTTTGCTGTCTTTTCAGCCAGTCTCCACAATTACTGGTAGAACTGGACAACACAATTTCTGTTCTTTTTCAGAACAACAAGGACAGGGGTAACGATTTGAAGGAGATCTGCCATTCCCAGTGGACAGGCAGGCATGATCTGTTTGAAGTTTTAGTGGACCTCCTGCAAGCATTGGTACTGTGCTTGGATGCGGTAAGCAGTGACTCATCTGTCAGGTGGAACACCTGCTTTGCTGGTCGAGCATTTGTACTTTCAAGTGCTTTAACAGATTTTGACTTCATCGTCACTGTTGTCATTCTGAAAAACATCCTCTCTTTTACAAGAGCATTTGGGAAAAATCTCCAAGGCCAAACATCAGATGTGTTCTTTGCAGCCAGCAGCTTGACAGCAGTGTTGCATTCTCTGAATGAAGTGATGGAGAATATCGAAGTTTACCATGAATTCTGGTTTGAGGAAGCAACAAATCTGGCTACAAAACTGGATGTACAAATTAAACTCCCAGGAAAGTTTCGTCGGGCACAACAGGGGAACTTTGGCGCCGAGGTAACGTCAGAAAACTACTACAAAGAAATCCTTAGTATCCCCACAATGGAGCATATTATTCAAGAATTAAAAGATATATTCTCAGAACAACATTTAAAAGCTCTTAAGTGTCTGTCATTGGTGCCCTCAGTCATGGGGCAGCTCAAATTCAACACATCTGAGGAGCATCACGCTGACATGTACAAAAATGACTTGCCTAATCCAGACACGCTTTCTGCTGAGCTTCACTGTTGGAGAATCAAGTGGAAGCACAGAGGAAAAGACATTGAACTCCCATCTACTATTTATGAATCACTTCACTTGCCTGACATCAAGTTTTTCCCTAACGTTTATGCGTTGCTTAAAGTCTTGTGCATACTTCCGGTGATGAAGGTGGAGAATGAGAAGTACGAAATAGGACGAAAGCGCTTAAAGGCCTACCTGAAAAACACCTTGACAACACAAAGGTCGAGCAACTTAGCTTTGCTGAACATAAACTTTGACATAAAACATGACTTAGATTTAATGGTGGACACCTACATTAAACTCTATCCCTATAAAGCGGAGTTTCAAGAAGACTTTACTCCCTCAAACAACACTGAAGTAACAGGAGATGCTTAATTTTTTAAGCTCTACCCAAGCTGTTGAAACAGCTTTTAATTAAGCTTCAACTCTGAGGGAAAAAAAACCTGAAATCTCAAATCACTGCAACTGTATTTCCATTTTAGGTCTTAGACTGAAGCAGTCGGTCAGTGACCCAGATTATGGTTTGTTAGTCTGCATTAAATGTGCTGTGCAAACAAAATCAAGCCTGAAAACAAAGCCATGCTCTTGGCAAAGGTGCTGGTTAACTAGGTGCTCATGCATTGCATCTTGGAAATTGCATTGTGGTGGTAGGTCTGATGGGGCTGCTACATATTTGCTCATGAGTTAGGATAAGAAAAAAACCACCCCCAAAATGCTAAAAAGAGTATTGACCATTTCAGATCTGTTACTTTAGGCTTTTATTCTCTTGGAAACCTTTTTAAAAAGAAGTCTTTGATGTATATTTAAATGTCATTTTGGAGAGTGGATTCAGCTATGGCACGATCCCAGTGCTGTGCACTGCTCTCAGTGTAAAGAGAATGTTAGTGGCATAGAGGTACGTTTATGGTTTCCTTGGAAGACTCAACCTCTTAAATCTCTTAATGACTGTTTACATTCCTTTGTGTGAGAGACAAACCTTTTGTTTCTTTTAGGCTTTTAACAGGCATGGCAGGAGTATGGGAATTCCTAAAAGACACTAAAAACTTAACATTGATTCCATTCAATCTGTTCTGTCCCGACTCTGACACAAACCCATACATCTTCTCGTCTGCTTATTTGTAAACTCACCCAGGAGGGATTAAAATCAGCATTTGTTGTTTGTCTAGATGTAAGATTGAAAATACTGCTGTTATTTTTGGCAAGAATGAAACATTTTTGTACAGTTTATTGCAATTGAAAATAAAATGTGAATTGCTTTTTACATAGTATTGGGTTTCTTAGTAAAGCTGTGCCTCTCCGAGAATGCGTATTCCTTTGTAAGGTACCTTTTCGTTTTGGCAGTTCTTTTCTCTGATTTTTGCACTTCCAGTGAGTGGCATTGTCTTAAGACACAGGAAAATTTGGCAGCACTTCTGATCTGCCAGGTTGGACACAGCCTTGGGTGCCATGGTTTAGTGTGAGGTGTCCCTGCCCATGGCAGGTTGGAACTGGATGCTCTTAAAATCCTTTCCAACCCAAGCCATTCTATGATTCTGTTTTGAGATAGCACTAAAAACAGTGCTTTTAATTGTGGGAGTTTGAACTGAAACAGGCAGAAACAGATGAAATTTGGAATGGTTGAGAAGTTAAGCTTTGCAGCTCTCCTGGTGCATGCCAGTTTTATAACTTGACAGTTCTCCTTTTATGGACTTCCCAGTTGCAGTGGGAATGGCTTCCAGAAACAGAAAATTGTCTGGATGTCAGAACTATACCAAATACAGTTCTTAATATTTTAATGCAGTCAGACAATAAGAATAAACTTGAAAATAACCTTAGAGCATCTCCCAGTGTCTAAAGGGGCTACAGGAAACCTAGAAGAGAGGCTTTGGGCAAAGGCTTGTTGAGAAAGGCCAAGGGGAATGGCTTTAACCTGCCAGAGGGGAGACTGAGCTGAGCTCTTAGGCAGAAGCTCTTCCCTGTGAGGGTGCTGAGGTGCTGGCACAGGGTGCCCAGAGAAGCTGTGGCTGCCCCATCCCTGGCAGTGTTCAAGGCCAGGTTGGACACAGGGGCTTGGAGCAAGCTGCTCTAGTAGAAGGGGTCCCTGCCCATGGCAGGGGTTGGAGCTGGAGGAGCTTTAAGGTCTCTTCCAACCCAAACCGTTCTATGGTTCTGTGATATTGAAGTGGCTGTGTACATATTAAGAAGTGCTTTCAGGAGCTTTTTCTTACATTGGAGTAATAAAAATTACTCCTAAAAAGTGTTATCTTTTCTTTGCACTGCTATTTGTACACGTTTTCTGGCATGCTTTCATGTTAATGCAATTGTTGCCTCAATCAGTAAAAAGTGTTTTAGCTAATAGCTTGCTTTGTTCTTCTTAGTGTATGAAAACAGCCCAAATTTATGTTAATGCTATTACAAAATGCATTTTTATTTTAATCTGAAGTAATATGGAAAATTGTCGTTTAAAAAAGATCTCAATTACAGATTTAGTAAAACCAGTAAGTAAATGTTTCTTATCTTGAGAAGGTCTGTGAGTTCCCGTGTGAGGTGCTTGTGACCTCAGTGAAGTCGGGTTAGATGAGCCCAGGCTTACAGGCATAATCAGAGAAAGAGATTGATAGCCAGTGCTGTATAATTGGCCACGAGAGGTAAAGACTGCTTTCTGACTCTAAATGAGATCTGTTTTGAAGACAGGCTGAGAAAGTTGGGGCTGTTCAGCCTGGAGAAGAGAAGCTGCGTGGAGACCTCAGAGCAGCTTCCAGTGTCTGAAGGGGGCTACAAGGATGCTGGGGAGGGACTCTTCATTAGGGACTGGAGTGATAGGACAAGGGGTGATGGGTTCAAACTGAAATGGGAAGTTCAGGTTAGATCTGAGGAAGAAGTCCTTTACTGTGAGGGTGCTGAGGCGCTGGCACAGGGTGCCCAGAGAAGCTGTGGCTGCCCCATCCCTGGTAGTGTTCAAGGCCAGGTGAGACAGAGCCTTGGTCTAGTGTGAGGTGTCCCTGCCAATGGGAGGGGGCTGGACCTGGATGATCTTAAGGTCCTTTCCAACCCAAACCCTTCTATGATCCTATGATTGCATGACTTACCGAGAGAAGCTGCAGAAGGGAAGTGCAGTCAAATGCTCCTTCAGCTTCTGAAGCATCTTCTGGAGCTCAGCTGAGATGCTCAGTTGTGACTGGCATTGCTGTATAGCTTCTCCGAGAGCCTAGATCGCTTGGTGTGCTCAGTCATGTCACCTCCTTTCACAGAGATGCTCAGGTTGTCTCTAATCGATCAGAAACTCTTTATTTAGCCTGTTTGAGTTGTCCTGCTGGTGAGGAATGCCTCATTTTCCAGACATACCAGTGCATCACTTGGGAACCTGTAGTAGTGATGGTTTGGTAGGAGGTGGAGGAACAAATGAATAGCAGGTTGCAGTGGGAAGTACCATTTGCACTTGAGAGATCTGTGTGGAGGAAAACCATTTACTCAGACTGTAGCAGTTCCAGTCTTATTTCTGAGGGTGAAGAGAAAGGCTGTGACTGAAGTGGAATCCAGTAATATAATCTTAAAGAGAACACTGTTGCTAGAGCAGGTCAGAGACTGACAGAGAAATGTCTGAAAATGGGACAAATACGGAAAATAAACTTTTAATTCCCTTTTATTTTAACAGATTCTTGAGACAGAGGGAGTTATCATCTTACAGATCCTGCCAGTTAAGGGCACTATGTATTTCACTGTGTATCTGAGGTATTTACCTTGCTTTGACCTGGCTTGCTGGCACCCTGTGTAGTGAAGCAACAGGTCTTTTTAAATGGTTTTAATTATTGCTGCTAAGATGTAACTTTAATGAAAGTGGATTTTCCTTACTGTGCTTTGTGAAGGGAATGCTTGTTTTAACACACAAAATCCATTTCTTTCTTCCATGGACAGAATTCCTGTTAGAAATCACTGCTGCATCTTAAAGCAGCATGGAGCATTCTGTCTCCTGCAGTGTTACCTCTGCCACTGGCTGCAGAAATCTGGTACCTGCTGCTGTGACTGCCAAGGTGCTGCTGTAAAGCAGGGAAGGACCAGAACCATGTAATGATGCAGGGTGCAGCCATCCTGCTGCCGTCATGCTCTGTTCTGTGCAGGGCTGCACACCTCAGTGTTGCCAGAAACCTCCCAGTTAACTCTGAGAAGATTGTGATAAATCTCTTCATTGGATCTGTTTCAAGGAACAGTTGCTAACCTGGAATACGATAGGTGTTATACCATATTTGATAATTTCCAACCTCTAATGCTCCCTGCTTTCCCTAAGGAAAAGAGAGAGATTGCAGTCTCCCTGACACAGTAGTGAGGAATCAGCAGAAACAGTGGAACTGGAAGTTTTAGATCTGCAGCAGCTGCAAAATATGTTCATTATGAGTTTAATTTGCTTTGCAAAATAGCACTGTTAATGGAATATTCATTACAAGAGTGCTGAGGCGCTGGCACAGGGTGCCCAGAGAAGCTGTGGCTGCCCCATCCCTGGCAGTGTTCAAGGCCAGGTTGGACACAGGGGCTTGGAGCAAGCTGCTCTAGTGGAAGGGGTCCCTGCCCGTGGCAGGGGTTGGAACTGGAGGAGCTTTAAAGTCCTTTCCAACTCAAAGCATTCTATGATACAAACCCAGCTGTGGTCCTGGTCTTCTCCTCCATTCCCACCCACCTTAGCAGCCAGCTAAAGGCACACTTGACCTCCTTTCTCTGCTGAGGGACTTACATTAAAGGTGAATCATCTGTTTCATTAAATCAGAGGCCACTTCAAGGGCTGCAGCCAGTTATGCCATGTGTTGTCCATATCCCTAAAAGAGTATTTGTGGAGAAATAGGATCCATATGGGCAGATCCGTACTGTCGAGCACGTCCTACTGAAGAACAGCCTTGAGCATCTGCCTGCAGAGATCAGGCTTTGCAGGATTCAGGCCTTAACTCTTTAATTTATAGCATTGAAGAGCTCTCAAGGATAGGGAGGGATCTGTAGGAGGTATGGAATAAAGTGGCTGGTGCTGGGACATGCATTTCCCCCCCCAAGGAGTGAAGCTTGCTGCCTTCGCCTTGGTGCGAGGCTCTGTTCTCCAGGAATGAACAGGAATATCACGGTCTGGCCTGAATTCCTCCCTGGAGAAGAGAGAGACAGATGATGTCATTGTTGGAGTTGTTTAGACATCATAAAGGTACTCACTGAGATGAGTAAAATATGGGTTTAATTCCTTTTTTAATAATAAAATAGCAATGGAAAGCCCTGAGTGCCAGGAACCTCAATGAGAAAAGTCTTTGCACCCTGGAGAACTTCTCTTTGCTTATGAATAAGCACTTCTAAAGTCACTGTTGGGTTCATTTCACGTGTGTATCTATGTATTTAAAGTCTGCAAAACCAGACTAAGTCACTTGTTTGTCTTACAGATGTCAAATTTGCTGAGCAATGCTTTGATTAAAAAGCACAACCAGGGTGAAAGGCACGCGGCTTGTTCCTGAGAGACTTTATCCACACCATACACAGCAACTCCTGAACCCTGTACCCTAAGATCCAAGCACGTAACTTAAATTAGGAAAAGATATTAGCTAATACATGCTGATTAGCTAATACAAGCCCTGTGGAGAAGGACTTGGAGGTGTTGGTTGATGAGAAAAAGAACATGAGCTGGCTTCAGTGTGCACTCGCAGCCCAGAAAGCAACCGTATCCTGGGCTGCATCAAAAGGAGCGTGACCAGCAGGGCGAAGGAGGTGATCCTGCCCCTCTGCTCTGCTCTTGTGAGACCTCACCTGCAGCACTGTGTGCAGTTCTGGGGTCCTCAACATAGAAAGGACATGGAGCTGTTGGAACAAGTCCAGAGGAGGCCATGAGGATGCTCAGGGGCTGGAGCAGCTCCTGTATGGAGCCAGGCTGAGAAAGTTGGGGCTGTTGAGCCTGGAGAAGAGAAGCTGCGTGGAGACCTCAGAGCAGCTTCCAGTGTCTGAAGGGGGCTACAAGGATGCTGGGGAGGGACTCTTCATCAGGGACTGCAGTGATAGGACAAAGGGTGATGGGTTCAAACTGAAACAGGGGAAGTTTAGATTGGATCTAAGGAAGAAGTTCTTTACTGTGAGGGTGGTGAGGCACTGGAATGGGTTGCCCGGGGAAGCTGTGAATGCTCCATCCCTGGCAGTGTTCAAGGCCAGGTTGGACAGAGCCTTGGGTGCCATGGTTTAGTGTGAGGTGTCCCTGCCCATGGCAGGGGGTTTGGAACTGGTTGATCTTAAGGTCCTTTCCAACCCAAACCATTCTATGATTCTATG